TAATTGGAGAATTTTAGTAGTTTTAAAGGCCGAAGCCACGTCTCCATTGTTCTTGATCGTAAGGCCGAAGCCATGTTTTGTCATATTTTTGTCATGTCTTATTATTCTCGGTCATAAGGCTCGTAGATGCTAGACTATAGATGTCAGAAGCGAATGTCAAACTGAAGCGAACTTCTTTTTTCGATCGGGGAGTCAATCATCCTACGAGGTATCCGCGTCCGGGGGCACACGCGGTATGTTCAACTTGACGGTTTGCAGCTCGCAGGCCCAAGGATATACTGAAGCACGCTAGCTCAACTATCACTACACATTTTATCACCTACAATCTAAACGTCGCTGTATCTGAATCCGATAACCTGAAAAATTACAGAATGTATTTCTTTACGGGCCACACACATTCAAGAGGAAGGTTTAAGCGCATAACTTATTAAAGATTTGTGTATGTTTGCCGAAATCTGGCAGAGTTTGTTGAAGATGTCGGAAATAATCATGCCGACTAAAGGGAGAATTGGCGGCGTGCGTCGTGTAAGCCAATAAAGTCTAATGAAAAAAAACGTGTCTCGGAATTTTTCAAAATTTATGTGCATCTGAGAGTATCTACTATTATTTTGTTAAGATCCAATAACCGTCAGTAATTATTAAGGGTATTCCGGGGCAATAATTAATGTAACCGTATAATTTTTTTTAGATCATCGTTTACAGGTTTTGATCTAGTTTAGTTTATCATTCACTCGGATGCAAAAAGGATATTTCCAAATAACGAAATTAAGTCAACGACTCTGCTGAGTCGGTGGCTTCGACAACTACATCTGTTTGCTCAATATTGGCAAGGGCTTCCTCCATTTTTATGCACTCTACTCAGTTTATAACTTTCTTGCGAACGTCTTTATCTCGTCTTCCCAACTCCGAATATGTCGGCCATGTTTCCTTTTACTATTTCCTAAGGTACCAAAACATCATGTTGTACGAGTACATAAAGAGCGTAGGAATACATAAAGACTACATAAACGTGGTCAGATGTTGCTAGTGATATTTTGTTTGTAAATTTATGGAGTATATATCTAAATCAGTCCTATATCTGTTTGGATACGAGAAAATTAATTTCTCTATTCTTTTACTTTGAACGTCGTGGCCTAAAGGATAAGACGCCCGGTGCAGTCGTATCGAACGATGGGATTTTCATTTATTGCTTTGATTGGGTTGACGAGCTCATAGTCACATGTCTTAAGTGATTATTGGAGCTCATATACATCAACAACGTCAATACTGCCATTGAGACATGAAGTCTAAGTGTCTATTTTTACAGCACAACAGTTACCTCGCCTTTCAAATCTAAACGGGTTACTGCTTCACGGCAGAAATAGGCAGGGCACAAGTGTCCATCTACCATTTACCATGTAATTATGAATTTAATATTTTAATATCAATTATATATTAATAAAAACATTTGTTTTATTCCACCAACTGAATTTTGAAATATTGCGAATTTTGTATGAAAGAAATTTTAGAGCTTCGTAGGATTTTTACGAAAAGATTTCTTTAATTCTGTAAACCAATAAAACGCTATCGGTCAAGACCCCGAGAAATATGCTAAAAACTACACGATTGGATGTTTTAAAAGATATTTTTTCTATGCATAAATAAATGACAAATGTAATCTGAACAAATATATAATATAACAATACTAGACAAGCCATACTCGCCCTCTTCGCAGGTCATTTAAAATTAACTTTATTGTTTATTGTCATTATTATTAGGGAGTCCAACGCTCATATAAATATTATCCTATCAATCAACTACATGTATTTTCTACATGGATACCAAGTTTCAAGTCAATCGGTTGCATGGTTCAGTAGTTATACCGGAACATCTGTAAAAACCACTGTAGATTTATATATTAGTATAGATTTACGGATTTATTAGATGCTCTTAATTTGGCAATACTGCAGTGTTAACGATACGATATACATATGATTATATTCCAAGCGGTTCATATGAGCTGAGTCCATCGATTATGATAATTATCCAGCGGCTAGTATGCTAAATAGTGTTTCTGAGTTAAACAAGAAAGCCTGAATTAAAATTTTAGTCTGATTTATTTAATATGAATTTAAATTCTAGATAATAAATGCAATTCAGAGTCTTAATATACAGTTTTCAATTCTCGTATTTTCGAATAGAATATAAAATGATATAAAATGTATTTGTTTTTTTGCTATGACGGGTGACGACTTCATTACCCACCCGCTGTTACGTGATTATCGGAGCCCATAGGCATCAATCACAAAGCCAGTGTCCCCATTCGCCTTGAAACTTGAAGTCTATGTCAAATATTTCTTTTTTCCTGGAGTTAGAAGTTGTCGCGGCGTCGTGGTGCATTCGTATCTAGCGATGCAACGGTATCCAAATTCCGCTGGCGGGTACCAACTTTTCTAATGAAATACGTGCTTAACAAATGTTCACGATTGACTTCCACGGTGAAGCAATAACATTGTGTAATAAAAATGAAACCCGCAAAATTATAATTTGCGTAATTACTGGTGGGACTGGACCTCTTGTGAGTCCGCACAGCTCCATTCACCAGGGCGGGGCAGCCGTTGCAATTATACTGAGAACTTAGAACTTATATCTCAAGGTGGGTGGCGCATTTAGTTGTAGGTATCTAGGTAGTTAGGTTGTAGATATCTATGGGCTTCAGTAACCACCTAACACTAGGTGGGCTGTGAGCTCGTCCACAAACGAAGCAAAAAAAATTTTTTTTTTTCTTAAGTCATGAATATTGATTGGATGTGTTGCGTGAGAAGTCGTTTCTTTAACTCGCACTAGTCGATATCACGATCCTGGTTATATCTGCCACAAAGCAGTCATCAGCTCCCATTTAAAGGATGGAATTACTATTATTAATGTACAGTACAATTTAGAATTTGAGGGACCATTACTCAAACTGTGACAGTTTACTAACACTGGCCCTTAGGAAGGCCAGAGCTTCGCAGAATCTACCACCAGATCGGAATCACGATCCACTGAGAAGATCGAAGAACTCAGTAGGTTATGTCTGTGGGAAATAGACCAGAGATGAGGATGAGAATGATAATGACAGTGATAAGTTTGTGTCGACAAGCCACATTTATTGAGCATGCTATTCCAGTAAAATGATACAAATACTAAAATATCTCTTAACCCAGATAAAAATATCAGCCCCTAAGTGCCTACCAAGAACGAATAAATATAAACCGTTTTTAAGAAAGCCCGCTCGTTCAAATTTAGGTGCTTACTCTCCCTTAAACAGAATCCTTTGGGACTACCATAATGTCCACGGTAGCGCGGTCTCCGTCAATGTTCGCTCGGAGTTGTCCGATTGCGCTGAACTAATTTTAAGTGAAATAGATATTTTTTCTAATTGTCTCATAAATCACAGGAAAAATCTGTCGCGGTTCATTTCCCAATTAAACATAAATTAATCTTAAATAATCAATCAAATGTAATCAAATCTTAGTTATATAGTTTTTTTATTTTTGTTGTTACTGCACTGTCGATTGCACCTATAATTGAGGTGACATCTGCCATGAACTTTTGTCAGTTTGTCAATGTTTTGTATTGATTATCACTTTGTTGGTGCAACTTAATAAATAAATATCGCTTAATACATTAACATAAATGTGCACCACAGCAGCGGCAGAGCGTTTACGACGTTATTAAAAATTCTATTCGCCTAATTTAAGGAATCGATTTGCCGTTTTTGCATTTTTACAGCCAACGTCTACCGTTGAGTTCTGAATGGTTTGCATTTGTGAATATGCTTCACGTTTCTTGATTTTTTTCCTCATAAATGACTTGGATGGGCTGTGTGAAAGAGGATATGAGAGAGAAAGGTGTGAATGCGAAGATGACGTATGATCGGCATGAATGTGTAACAAAGACAAGAAGATGTAGGTATGAAGTATTAATACGCGACATTTATCTTTGTAATTAAAGGTGCGTTAAATTTGGAACTAGACCCTCAGACACAGCCCACTGAGTTTCTCGGTGGTAGATTCTGCGAAGCACGGCTCTTGCTAGGGTTCGTGTTAGCAACGTCATCAGCTTTGAGCCCCGTGAGCTCACCTACTAGTCAAGGCGACGCTGATATAGCCTCTCAAGGCTATCAGCTTAGGTAGGAAAAAATATATTTGGAATTAGCATCAACAGTTAGATGTTATTAATTGAACTTCAATTAAGTTTGCTCCATTGAAATAGCTGAAGAACGAAATTTTTGTTGTTATGATACTTTTTCCAAATTTTAAACTTTCAATGGCTCTCCTATAAACATGTCGCTTAAACCAAATAGCCTTTCACCTCTCGATATGATCCTTTATGATCCTATATGATACTTTACTAAACTACGTAATGCAAAAACAAAACAATAATTTATTATTGAGTATTTCGAACGCAAACGCGCGAATACGAATCTCGTGAAATATTTCGCATGTTTTTTTTTTGTTATACATATATAATTTTATATTGCTCATATTTTTTCGCACTAAACTTAGCAAAACAAACGAAAATATGATCAATCAACCAAATTAACATTGACTAGTTCGTGAATTTTAACAAGTAAAAAATTAGGAGTCGTAAATTATATTACCTTCAACGTAAATTGTGTTTTAACATTAAAGCCACGACGTATTTCGTTTTTTTTTTTCTTCCTATAAAACACATACCTACAATGTAATCGTTTAACTTTATTGTCCCAATTAAGGCTGTGCTAAAGATGATACCTGTTACTATTCGCAATATTTACGATATCAGATCGCCCTGGACACATCAAATTGGTTTACCGTAATCAGCTAGATAAATTTTATTTATGAGTGTCAATGGCACTTAGATGTATCATCTCGACCTAGTGATTTCCGAGTGGGGGTAATCATGTTTCTAGTATATAAACACGGAGAAATGAAACACAAGCATGCACAACCATCGGGGGAAAGGTCCATACATCCTGCGGAGGAAGTAAACAGAAGATGGTGTCCAAGTTTATCGTGTTTGTTACCGCTTTGGCTTTGTGCCACGCCAAACCATTCTTGATCGCAGGTAAATTAAAGTTTTATCTCGTGATTAATTCTTAAGAAATGCACGTATGATCTTTTGAAGTGTCATTGATCTCAATTTCCTTAATTAATAATTTTTAATTAGAATAATAAATTAATTTATTTTTATGTTAATATCAGATCTTCAAGCATCTTTTAATAAAAGGGTGTACATTATGATAATTGTATACACATATGTTTTATAGGACCTCAGCCATACTATGGCCGCATTGAGAGCACCCCCAGCATCGCTTACGGCTTTGGCAGTGGGTTCAGCAGCAACATTGGCGGCATAACTCACACTTCGGGCATCGGACACTCTTTCCAAACCGGCAACGCCGAGGCCTACGGTGGCGGCTTCGCCAACAGCGACGGTCCAGCCTACGCAAGTGGAATCGGAATCGCTAACACCGGAGTCCAGCCCCAGCAATACTACAGAACGTACAACGTTCAGCCTGCGGTCTACCGTCCTGCCCCTACCTACACAAGCTACCAGCCAGCTATTTACAACACAGGATACTATCGCGACCAGGGGTCAGCCATTGCTTCAGCTCAAAATTTGAACAACTACGGCACTTCTATCGCTCAAAGCCAATCCGGATCCAGGCAAGGATCAGCCGTGTCGACTGTCAGTAACTTAAGAGGTCTCGGTTATGGATCTGTAGCATCAGCTACCGCTAACGACGGATTTGGTACGGTCATCTCCAGCGCTGACAGTCGCGGAACTGCTATCTCGTCAGCTCAAACTCGTGACGGTCAAGGAGATTACAGCAACGTAGTATCGGCGGCACAAAACATCGGAGGATATAGAGCCAGCACCGCTCAGAGCGTCCAGCAAAGCGGCGGGACCACCCAACAGAGCGGCGCCAGCAGCATCGACGGCCCCGGCATCCAAGCCAGCCACACTCACTCCGTCAAAACGTTCTAAACGACGTAGCCCTAAATGATTTTATTAATTAAAAATCGAAGACATCGGAGACGACTGTCGGTCACTTGTCTCCATGTCTTTGTTGTAATAGAAAAATAAAATAAAGACTGCATTCATGTACCGCAAATTTATTTCATTTATACTAAATTGATTATAATTAAATCTAAAAAACACTTACAAAGCATTAGTTACGAATCATTCTTGGCACTGTTGTCGAATGGTACTCCGTTAATTTCGCCATAGATATGCCCGTTCTCGTTCACGGCCGTGATTGACTCACCGTGTCCGGCGAAACTGGGGTCATAGAAACTCTCAACGTTCCTAACCCAGTCGTTTATCGGGAATCCTTGGAATGGGGAGATGTAGAATGGGAATAAGTACGGGTGACCGGCTGAGCTTGATGCTGACGCGAAGCTCCTGCCAGTTCCGGTTTTTCCTGATGATGCGACGCTGATGCTTTGTGCAATCCTTTTTCTGCTTCCATCATTCGTTCGAGTCGCAAAACTATCGCCGTTCGTATCTGATGTCGATATAGCTACAATTGATTCGCCCGAAGGAGATGATTCTGTAAAAAGACATTAAACACCTTACAGTTCACGAGAATTTCACTGCTACTAGCCTACTTAATTTTATTAAGATTTTATGATTGATAATCGGAAGTGATAGAAACTCGCCGTAACAATGAAACCACTAATGAAAGCTACTGTCGAATAAATTCAACAATATCATTCATCATCATCATTATCCTGCCCTTCTCCCAGTCACCTGGGGTCGGCGCAACATGTTTTCCATACTCTTCTATCATATACCATTTCTTCGCTCACTCCCCTCTTACCCATATTCAACCCATATCATCATAACTATTTAATACAATATATTTCAGAGACATACCTCTTAAGACGAGCGGTACTCCGTCAACATAAAGTGACGTCAGACAAGTGACGATCAAAACGATTATTGTCGATTTCATTTTATCCGTAACCAAAACTTAATATATTTAGTAAATGGAGAAATGAAAGACGAACCAGACTCTAGCCATTTATATAGGTTGCAGAGTCGATTCGTATTAGCCCCACAGCATCCTTGGTTCATCGAACTCTAACATATACAATAATTATAGCTAAGATGCGAACGTGATTTTGTAAAAAAATTGGACAGAGAAGAATCGTTCAAGATTTAAGTGTCGGCTTTGATTTTTTTTTATTACGTTGTTTATGAGATTAATTTTACAATGCTCATTAATAGTAAGTTATAATGATTACATTTAATTTATGTACGGTATTAAAATTATTATCGTTTCTTTCCATTATTGAGGACAGAAGTGTGATTGTTGAATAAAACACTAGTATCTAATTAAAATCGTTAAGTTTTACATAGACAATATTGTAAAGAAATGAATATAATCAATACTAGTTAGATATTGTGTTTAAAACTAAATTTGGCTTAAGTCATATTCGATCGCAATACTTTAACTCAATTTAAATAGTATTTAGGGTTACAATCACTATATTATTGTAACATAAACATAGACACGCTAATCCTAGATATCTCTAAACTATATTTTCAAACACGTCACTTCGGATCTTCTCGAACCACTATCGGTTCCATTATGCACCGGCCACCTTTCTCGTCAAACCCGTCGAATGCGATGAAGAATTCGTCGTGAAAATTGGCTCATAAACACAACTTACGGACTTTTTCGCTGGATCTTTTCAATGGGTCGCGATTCCGATCCGGTAGTAGAATCAGCGAAGCGCTACTCTTGCTTGGGTTAGCCAGTGGCGTAGCCTCCAAAAAAAACTTTTATTTTATACTGTTTATTACCCTAGACGACGAACCGACGATTAGTTTTATATTAAATTCCCCTTCCACTTACGTGAATCCATAGATATCCCAGTGCTAATGCTGCGAATAATTGCCAATTGTTATTTTAGGTACGACAAGCAAGTAAACAAATAGCATTCGAAGGAAATAAAATAAGATAATCTATATATATAAAAATGAATTGCTGTTCGTTAGTCTCGCTAAAACTCTAGAACGGCTGGACGGATTTGGCTAATTTTGGTCTTGAATTATTCGTGGAAGTCCGGAGAAGGTTTAAAAGGTATTAAATATGAAAATGCTCGGATTTAAATAAAAATAACAATTTTGTTTGTCCTTTGATGTGTCCCCCATCGGACGAATTCCTTTTGTCTTTTATTTATCGATTGAGGCACTGTGAAGTCTGCCAGGTCAGCTAGTTAGTAGTATAAACAAAGAAGACAAGTCTAGAATATCGGACAAAAACACTACACTACTAAGATTTTACAAGGTCGACGGCTGTATTTACTAGTTCTTGTATATTTAGTACACAGAAACATATCTATTAAAAATATACCATTTCCGAGGACAAAAAGAAATTATAAGCATAGCTTACATGCAAACTTGAAGACCATTTATTTAAGTATGCATAAATACTAAAGAAGGTAGCGACACTGATAGGACATTGACCTTACAGCATTTGATTTTATGATGCTTGTTACATTGCATCCAATGCAATGATATCATTCACTCGAATAAAAAAATGCATTTATGTGTTTAAAAGCGTAAGCGTGTCTGAAATCACTATTGAATACACTTTTAAACTATATATTATAGTTTTATAAAATAGACAAACAAAAAACGATTTTTTGCTTACGAACTTTAAGCAAAAATCTAAATATTCGTTGTAAAGTAAAAACTGCCCCACTCTTAAAATCTAAGGGCATATCTACTACTAGAAAGACGCAGAATCAAAACTGGATATATACATACTCGTAAAATCAGACTAGACTCGTCCCGCACGATTCTAGTTTGATTTTCATAAATCAGATACATTCCCGATCCTGCGGACAGAATGGAAAGCAGTCGACGTCGCCCAAAACACGTCATCTCGGATCCTCCCGATCCACTAACGGTGCTTTTAGGCACTTCAAGCACCGGTCACCGTTCTCGTCGAACCCGTCGCTTGCGACGAAGGGCTCGACGAGTAAATTAACTCTCAGACACAGCCCACTGAGTTTCTCGCCGGATCTTCTCAGTGGGTCGCGTTTCCGATCCGGTGGTAGATTCTGCGAAGCACGACTCTTGCTAGGGTTCGTGTTAGCAACATCGTCAGGTTTGAGCCCCGTNTAACTCTCAGACACAGCCCACTGAGTTTCTCGCCGGATCTTCTCAGTGGGTCGCGTTTCCGATCCGGTGGTAGATTCTGCGAAGCACGACTCTTGCTAGGGTTCGTGTTAGCAACATCGTCAGGTTTGAGCCCCGTGAGCTCACCTACTAAAGTTAGGGTTACGCTGAAATAGCCGCTAGGGCTATCAGCTTAGGTAGGAAAAAATAAATAATAATAATAATAATAAATCAGATAAAATTAATAAATGAACAAAATTTAAGATCGATATACCTTTTTAAGCTACATCAACATTATTATAATAATATATTACAACACCTTACTATTTAAATTGAGTTACATCATTGTGATCGCACGGGTAGGTACCACCGCCCTGCCTATTTCTCCCGTGAAGCAGTAATGCGTTTCGCTTTGAAGGGTGGGGCAGCCGTTGTAACTGTACTCAGACCTTAGAACTCATATCTCAAGGTGGGTGGCGTCATTTACGTTGTAGACGTCTATGTGCCCCGGTAACCGCTTAACACCAGGTGAGCCGTGAGTTCGTCCACCCATCTAAGTAATAAATAAATAAACAATTGGCTTAAGCGAAATTTAGTTTTGAACCGAGTATTAGACAAGTATTATCTTTAATGATTTCAACATCCTACAGTTAATGTATATTTCCAGACGAATATAACATTTATTACTAAGGACTTACTCCGAATGATAACATAAGAACTTTACATCTAGAGAAACTCACCGGGATGATGTATGAATTAGGTTGCTCGTTGCAATAGGACCAGAGTCCTGGTGAAGGCTAGCTGAAGGCGTTTAAAGCAAGAGTTACTGGATCTGATGGATTCGTAAGGACGTGTGACATGCATGTCTGATGCGAACTGCTGGTGAATTGTATACAGGTGTTTGGGTTAAAATGACCTTTCTCAGTTAAGCACCTTCGTAATTATTTGCTAATATTACATTTTATAGGATTTTAAATGAAATTATTTAAAGACACAATGTGATGTTTTTTCTTGACAACGGACGGCTTAAGAAACGACTATTTCTAATTTGCGATTTGAACTAGTTTAGATTAGAGTCCCCCGTACTTAATAAAGACGTGTTTGAATTGCTTCTATAAAAAAAACCGTTTTGATACATTTAAATAAATGTAATCTAATTTTAATAAGGTACTTTGTACGAGTATTCACTTATCACTGAAACCGCAGATGGTTCTGTCTAACCAAAAATAAGACGAAAGTCGTAATGATCTGACTTATTCCTTTTTTTTCCTACCTAAGTTGATAGCCTTGACAGGCTATTTCAGCGTAATCTTAATTAGTAGGTGAACTCACGGGGCTCAAACCTGACGACGTTGCTAACACGAACCCTAGCAACAGCCGTGCTTCGCAGAATCTACTACCGGATCGGAAACGCGACCCACTGAGAAGACCCGGCGAGAAACTCAGTGAGCTATGTCTATGAGTTAATTTACTCGTCGAGCCCTTCGTCGCAAGTGACGGGTTCGACGAGAACGATGACCGGTGCTTGAGGTACCTAAAAGCACCGTTAGTGGATCGGGAAGATCCGAAATGACGTGAGAGCTGACTATAATTTCGAATAAACTATCAAACATTTCATATCAAACATATTGGTTTTAATATTATGTAGAATCGGCGATAATGTTAAAAGCGCTTCTCCTTAATAACACAGAGCAAACACATAAATCTATGGTTCGGACATAATAAATCAACAAACCGTTAGCTGCAAAACATAGAATAGTCAGAAGTCGCGAATTTTTTAAAGCTTTTAAAAATTTATAACCGTAGCCGTAATAGGAATAGTGTGTTAATTGAGATTATTACTGCATTTTACGACCACACCTCGTTCTCTAACGGCCGTTTTCAATAACCTATCTATCCCTAGTTTCGGTTACTAAAGATAGACAAATCTATATTTTTGTCCTTACTTACGTTCCAATAACCTATCGACGGGCAGCAGTTCCTATCGGAATTATCTATCCATCGTCGGGAGGACGGATAGCCTGCTAAAGATAGAACGCTCATACAAATCGTGCTTACTTCCGTTTCAATATGAGTTTTAAGTAACTCTCCGGTAGGCAGCGCTATCTCTAGTATGGGCATTCGCTTATCTGTCAAAATCGGCCGGTTACATGTTTATCTTTCGAAAGTAAATCGCTATAATTTAATAATTNATGTTGTTTCGTATTTGTAGTAGAACGAAACGTATCAAGAGGCTCGGATAAATCGGAGGGAAGAAGCTATCTACTGTTGGTTAAAGAGAGATAGCACTTATCCGTGATTGTGAAACGCAAACTAAGGACAGATACGCTCTTGCTGATATTCGGAGATAGCTATCTATCCGAAAACTCAGATACGTTATTGAAAACGGCCGTAAATGAGTCACGCAAGTAATCGTCAAACAATAAAGGACACAAAGCCAAGTCATTATCAGCCAAATGAAAAGACGCCCAATTTCTTCTGAAGTTTGAGTCAGATTGGCCCACAAAATCACTTTAGTCTCTCAGTGGTCACCCATACGCACTAACGCGTATTTAATCACCCACTAAGGACTGCAAGCGATTCCGTATCGCTTAAAATACGAACTTAATTTAAAAAAAACAAGAGAACTCTAAACAAGCGTTGCTTTAAATACTCTAGTCTACTTCCAAAATCAAGATATTTTGTTTGAATGTTACTTTTTTTTTCATTTTCACTTAAATTGTACAGATAAATATAAATTAAGTACCTGTGATATATCTCGATTGTTATTGTTAAGATTAATTTTTTTTTTGCAATCTCCATATCAATTTTGAGATCGATCTAACAACTCCCGCCTCAGGCTTAGATGTTAAATTTGCAAAAGGTACAGGTAATAACTTTCTTTTTGCATTAGGTGGGTGAGTACAGAGGCCGACCTTTCTGGTGTTCAGTGTTGATTAAACTGAAAACTGCCGCCATCCTGGGAGATCTTACAGGATACTGAATGCTGGCGTTATTTGTGGGCTTACACTCTATCACCGTTAAAGTAAAGCAAAGGGTCCTAGGGGCCAGGCCTGTAAAGGATTTTGAAAGAAGAAAATGGTTAGGGAACGAACACGGGTTTTTTTTAAAAAAAAAATGTTTAGATGGGTGGACGAGCTCACAGCCCACCTGGTGTTAAGTGGTTACTGGAGCTCATAGACATCTACAACGTCAATGCGCCACCCACCTTGAGATATAAGTTCTAAGGTTTCAAGTATAGTTACAATGGCTGCCCGACCCTTCAAACCGAAACGCATTACTGCTTCACGGCAGAAATAGGCAGGGTGGTGGTACCTACCCGCGCGGACTCACAAGAGGTCCTACCACCAGTATGTGAATACTACATATAATAGCTAAAGGTTGTTGGAGGTTCGAGAACGAACCTGAATTGATCAACTGGGTAAATTCATTGCAGGATTCTTCAAAATTAAATTGAAACACAAACTAATATATTGAGAGATAGCCAAACGAATCAGGTACAGATAATCAAAAGAACAAACAGATAAACAAACAGACAAACAAGAACTAATAAATAATTAAAAAGATATTCAAACTGTTTACCTCAGACACGTGTTCAAAAGTCTTTGAACGCCAACATTAGACAGGAAACTAAAATTAATTAGAAATAAAATGAGAATCGTTTATTAATGTAACCGACCGAACCAGTTTCTGATTTTCATAACATCAGAGCTACAAAAACTTAAACGGTTCCATATAAAAGATCAGTGTGACATCAGTGATCATATAATGCACTGTTTCTTTTGGCTATAAAGTCGGTATGATAAGCAGTAACGTTCACAGACAAGCACGCACTCACATAAGTTTATAACATTCACTGATTGTCATAGTTTGAAAGATTTTGCTGATTGGATTAAATCAGATTCTAAAGTACATTTGAGTTAGGTACCAGTCATGCCAAAGAACGGTTGTTATGCCAAAAATATTGAGTTTTTAAAATTCACGACTCAGGAAGAACGACAATCACGCTTAGAAGCATAAGGGCTCAGATAGTCCATTGACAAATAAAGTCGTATTATCATATGGTTCAGCGCAGGTACTTGAATTACTTGAGGCTATAATTCGTACCATACATCCGACTTCAAACGAATTTTGAATACATTTCGATAAAATTGACGGAGAGAGTAAGCCTGAATTAAAAACTAGATCGTAAAGAATAAATACAGTTAGGATTGAAGAAATAAAATCATATCAATAATGTAAGAAATACCGAAAAGATTTAAGACTCATTATCGAAATATTCGACTGACAAATACTGAACGCACAATTCAGTGTACCTAAACTTAAAATCATACCAATAAATCCATCACAGAGAATATTCGTAATCATACAATGGAGAAATGGACTCCATTTAAATAGCCGATCAATGGATCTGTCCACATCAATATTTATTTTAAAAAAAACCGTTTCTTTAGAGACTATAAATCGAAAACGAGATTTTTTACGATGGAATATAAAGTGAGATTTTGTTAGTTGATCTTGCATTTCTAATTCACGTTTCTATCACGATGTTGCTAAGCTATTTCTTTGTTTCATTATTATCAGCGACGCTAGCAGGTAAATGTTCTATTTATATTTATGAATAAATTAAAATGTATATAAATGTATTTAAACAAAGACAAAAGTGGTACATAGCTCGTTATATATATATATACTGTGATTTTTGGAATGAAGCTACATAGATTCGTTTTATTATATTTATTTACTCACGATACTTTTATGATGTTTGAGAATAGCCGTTTTGAATTTTAAGCTAAAAGTTTCGTTGTCGTTGCGATATGAAAGCTATTTATCACCTATAATGTGCGAATTTGAATTTAGAATGATTACATTTAACAATCAAAGCATTTCAGTTTATTTCTATTTCGAAGTAATGCTTCAATTGCCAACATTATTCTAAGCCAATCGTTCTTTTTTTTAGGCCCTGTAAATACTCAGGGACCAGTTTTACATTCGGCCCAAGTAAAAATTGATGGCCACGAGGCCCAAGCGATCCATACGACTACCGGAGGCGGTGGAGTTTCAAGCGTAGCCGGTATTTCTTCAAGGAATGGCCGAGTGACGTCATACAGCGGGATATACTCCCACTCTGACCTCGACACTCCAGCAGTCATAGCACGAGCAGACACCAGGGACCTCAGTTCAAAAACATCTGATGGAAAACCTTTGTATATAACCAAGGAGATTGACAACGAGTTTACTAAAGGAACAGTCAAGATATCTCCCGGATCTGTATCGGTGACGTCAATTTCTAAATCGAGATCCGCTCCCGGCTCGGAATCTTGGAGGAACACTTTATTGATCCCAATGATGCCTATCATCTCCAACCCCTTCCTTCGCAGTTCTATCTCGACTTACGATCCGAGATTCAACCCGTGGTTCCCTCAAGAATTATACGGTAGCTCTACCCAGAAAACCGACAATAGATTCAGATCTAACCCCTTTTATCCAAATTTTTATACGTTTTACAATAATTGGCAATAAAAATTTGTATACGTACTACTTTAAATCTTAACTAACGAACTGGATTTGATTAATCGGTTGACAATTCTGACAATTTTATTTTAGAGCTTTCGTTAAAATGATTCATAAACAAAATAAAAATTTAATTTAAGATGTATTTTTTTAAATACAATTTCCTTTTAGCTTTTTTTTATTATGTTCATTAGGCATGTATAAATATTTAGTAGTATAAGTCAATAACACCGACTAATGTATTCGAAGAAAGGCTTTAAAGGTGGTATTTATTTTATCCTTGGCCAACACTGTACGAAACTTGTCTGACAAGTTATTTTTATGTGACAACCAGTTGATGTGTTGTATTGCTTAAAATACACACAGCAACAAGTCATAAGGATTCGCTTGAAATCTCACTAGGTTCTTCTTGTCTAGATTTTAGGTTCTGGATTAGTAGTGAGAGAGAATTACATACGGATGTGTTTTCCGTCGCATTTTTATATTTTTTTAATACCAGATATTTTCAGCTACGAGAAAACGATATTCCGTAAACTAAAATTGTCTAAAAAACAACAATAAAAAAAATACTCCCTTGTCCATAGATAAAGGTTTGTCCATAAAATAAGTGCTTACAAACACATTTTCGCGCTGTTTTTCGCGAATTTCACACTGTTGCTAGGGTCTACGTCCGCCACTACGTACGTAATAGTCCGCTCTGCAAAGCACTGCTCTTGCTAGGGCTAGTGTTAGCAAATTCTCTCAGCTTGACCTCGTAAGCTCACCTACCCGCCAGGCGTAGCTGGAATAGCCCTTTGGTCTACCAATGAATAGGTAGGGGAAAAAAAGATGAGTCCGCACGGGCTACCATCCTGCTGATTTCTAAGGAGAATAATGTGCTCCGGCTTGAAGACTGGGACAGCATTTCTATTATAGAACTGAGACTTAGAACTCATGTCGTAAGATGAGTGATATTTACGTGGTTTATTTCTATAGGCTTTGCAAACCACCAAACATAAAGTTTAAACAAAATCTGAATATATTCAGCTTTTTTTGCACGATTGAGTGACAAACAAACAAGACTCACATTTAAATTATAATATGTATTAGCATAGATATACTTAATTGAAATCGAAACAAATATGGCAACAGATGTAGGTTTAAAAGTCTCCAGCATGTGTCGCAATGAAGTAAACCTGTCCATCATATTAACGAAAGTTTCGCGACAAAAGTCATCATTTAACCTTGTATATTCTATCTATCAAATATGAGATTGAAGCATGCAAAATTTTAAACATTGTTATTAACCTTTTGAAATGAATATTATACTGACATATTACTACTACTACTGAGATACTACACCCAAAAACTGTGTTCGCTATTTCCATTCTCGAAAACGAAAACAGATTGTTAGGTCTTAGAAGACCGGAGCAGTATGGCTTCCGAGAGGGCCGCTCAACGGTAGACGCGATCCTTCGCGTGCGGGCCCTCTCGGATGAGGCCGTCTCCGGGGGTGGGGTGGTTTTGGCGGTGTCACTCGATATCGCCAATGCGTTCAACACCCTGCCCTGGTCCGTGATAGGGGGGGCGCTGGAAAGACACGGAGTTCCCCCCTACCTTCGCCGGCTGGTGGGTTCCTACTTGGAGGACAGATCGGTCACGTGTACCGGACACGGTGGGATTGTGCACCGGTTCCCGGTCGTGCGCGGTGTTCCACAGGGGTCGGTGCTCGGCCCTCTTTTGTGGAATATCGGGTATGACTGGGTACTGAGGGGTGCCCTCCTCCCGGGCCTGAGTGTAATCTGTTACGCAGACGACACGTTGGTCGTGGCCCGGGGGGGAGTTTTGCTGAGTCTGCCCGTCTTGCTACGGCTGGGGTGGCGCATGTCGTCGGCAAAATCAGGAGATTGGGCCTCGACGTGGCGCTCAGTAAATCCGAGGCCATGTGGTTCCACAGGCCCCGGAGAGTGCCACGTGTCGATGCCCATATCGTGGTTGGAGGCGTCTGTATCGGGGTCGGGGTGCAGTTGAAGTACCTCGGCCTCATTCTGGACAGTCGTTGGACCTTCCGTGCTCACTTTCAGAATCTGGTCCCTCGTTTGTTGGGGGTGGCCGGCGCGTTAAGCCGGCTCCTTCCCTAATGTCGGGGGGCCTGACCAGGTGACGCGCCGTCTCTATACAGGGGTGGTGCGATCAATGGCCCTATACGGGGCACCCGTGTGGGGCCAGTCCCTGGCCGTGGGGGTAGCGAAGCTGCTGCAACGGCCGCAACGACCATCGCGGTCAGGGTCATCCGTGGTTATCGCACCATCTCTTTCGAGGCGGCGTGTGTACTGGCTGGGACGCCGCCTTGGGTCCTGGAGGCGGAGGCGCTCGCTGCTGACTATCAGTGGCGGGCTGACCTTCGTGTCCAGGGCGTGGCACGTCCCAGCCCCAGTGTGGTCAGAACGCGGAGGGCCCAATCTCGGCGATCCGTGCTGGAGTCATGGTCCAGACGGCTGGCCGATCCTTCGGCTGGTCGTAGGACCGCCGAGGCGATTCGCCCGGTTCTTGTGAATTGGGTGAATCGTGACAGAGGACGCCTCACTTTCCGGCTCACGCAGGTGCTCACTGGGCATGGTTGCTTCGGTGAGTTCCTGCACCGGATCGGAGCCGAGCCGACGGCAGAGTGCCAGCATTATGGTTGCGACTTGGACACGGCGGAGCACACGCTCGTCGCCTGCTCCGCATGGGAGGGGTGGCGCCGTGTCCTCGTCGCAAAAATAGGAAACGACTTTCGTTGCCGAGTGTTGTGGCATCGATGCTCGGCGACGACGAGTCGTGGAAGGCGATGCTCGACTTCTGCGAGTGCACCATCTCGCAGAAGGAGGCGGCGGGGCGCGTGAGAGACGCGCAAGCCCGCCGCCGTCGAGCGGGGGCCAGGGAGGCGGATCTCGCCCAAGCCCTGGCCCTCTAAGTGTTTCGGGTCCCCTTCATATGTCGGTCTGGGGACCGGCGAAGGGGGCCTAAGAAGACGACGTGCAAGCTGCT